CCGCGTGGAAAGAGAGAAAGTTATTACGGAAGTAAATTATTACCCGCGCTTGTTGTTATATTCCTATTCTTTACATTTCTTTCACTATTTTCAATACCCTGAGAACATATTTCCCATCCATTCGCAAATTAGATCAAGCTATTTGATTAATAATTATTATTATAAATATTTAGAAAGAACAATTTAATTATATCCGTTTATTAACATCTCTTCTTTAATAACCATATTTATTTTTGCAAATGACAATTTTGCAATTTTAAAAATTACAAATGCCAAGAATGTGTGATGAATGTATAAAAGGCGGATTTAATGCAATAATCTAAAAATAATCATGATACACACCCACCTTTTTGCCATCTGAGATGCAAAATTTTACCTTGAATAATCCAATTGGGTGTGACGATGTTATGAATAAAATGAATAATAGATATCATATATTGATTGAAATGAAAAAACTATGGCTCTCGATATCAAGTTTTGTGTGATATTTCTCATCGTTGAGTTACGGGCAAGAGAACCCGGTCGATAGACAGTAGCGAGACAGTCCAGTGTAACTATAAACCTTTCTCTTTCTCAACACTATATATCTATATATCCATAGATAAACATACTCTCACAGATTATTTATTGAATTTAACAACTTTCTTAATCACTTATTTTCAACTAAGTGTGTTTAATTAACATGTTTAATATCGTCAACAATATTTAAAACATATAAGTATTTACTACTAACAATCAATAATAATGTATTGAAGTATAATTTATATTTCATATAATTTATTATTTGATATAAATTATATTCGCAGTACTCATAAAATTTCATAATTTATATAGCTATTGTATATTTAAAAAAAAAAAACAGGTTGAAAAATTATTGCTCAAAAGTATTATTAAAACATTTTTCAACTTCCCAATTTGACATGAAACATTACTTCCTTTTGACTCGATAATACTTTAAAAACTTAATTCTTACGTACAGCGATAATCTTTAAGATTTAAACTAATACACAAGAGTTGGTTGTAGTAAACTGTGGGAATGAAAACTCAAGCAACTAGAATGTCTTTCTTTAGGGCTTTAGCTTACGCGTATTACATAATAACTCAACATAATGTACTAGTAACCTCTCTAACACATGCGATTCGGTCATCATTTGTATGTTATGTTTTATTGTTTCTATATTTTTCTTTCTTTATACATGCAAAATTTATTTTCAAAATAAAAATATCAAATTAATTTTATACTTAATGCATAGAATAATACAATTAATTTGAATGATTTGACAAAAATACGCCTAAACAAAATAAAATGATTTTATTTACTTAGGATATTTTTGGGTCATTCTATTTATTTCTATATGTTGACACTCACGATCATCACTCGACATAAATATCAATGAAAAGCATTGTTGATCGTCAATTACATATCCAACTAATATTCGGTGAGTTTGCAAGTCATAGTGTCGAGTATTGTAATAAGTACTTGTTGCTCTTGGGGGGGAAAAAAAAAAGAGAGAGAAAAAAGAATGTAGAGATAAAAATCCTCTTTCCTTACGATGTTTCTTTAACGGTATATTCTTGTATCCTAAACGTAGATTACCATTTAGACAATGAGTTGATGATTCATAGTGTTCGCAAATAAGCGAGAAACCTGGCTTTTTATTATACTGCAACATGTTATATGTTACATAGCTGATGAATCATGTACAAAGATGACGAAAATTATTGACAGTAAATTTCTCATGGTGCTTCAGCGTGACCGGATCTATGTATGAAAAATTTATTAAAGTTGTGAGAGAGAGATACATAGAAAAAAAAAAGAAAAATAATAAAACGTGACACCCTTGAGCTGCAAGATCGGATTTCGATACGCGTATTGACGTTCGAGAATTTTCGTTCTTTTACTATGATGTTTAAAAAAAAATGTGTTTATATGAAATAGAACATTATTTGATACGATAAAAATTCTGTACATACACTTGAAGGTTCAAAGTTTCAATCAAATCACTAAAGTTGAGTACGTTCGAGTAATAAACGGGAAAAAAGTTATACTTAAAGTTGGTTGTATATTAGAAAATTAGAAAGCGAGAAATCGTGACCAGTCAAGTTTGCTTTTACTTAAAGATAAGAGAATCAATGAGATCAATCAAAAAGCTAGAGTATCTTATAGTTGTAAAAATTTTGAATAATTTATTTTTAATGTGAATAAATTATTACACATATCAAACGTTTATGAATATCTAAAATTCAACTTTTCAAATCAAATATATATTCACGCATGAAAGTAAGAGCTGGAGTGGATGAGAGTAGATAGCTTTAAAGATATAATTTTTCCCCTAATGTATTTCATTTCCATCCCCTTCATATGGACCTAAAGTCATCTAGGATAGGCTTTAGTCTGCGACTGTACATTTCTGTTTGCTCCCTTCTTTTTACTTCATCATCTCGCTGGCGATTGATCCGTCGATGCATCTCGTTGGCGCTTGCTGTGCATTTGTGATATACATCCCGGTTAGTTATATATATATACATACTGTATAATAAAAAATAATAAGAAAAAAAAGGAAAAATAATGTAGAGTAGTCGACGAGGGTAGACTAGGTTGCGAAGAAAAAGGGGCTGGAAAATTTTCATGCCCGACGGACCGAACTCCATTCGTCTGCACCTGCATCGGTGCGCACCATGCGATCGACAACAGTGCGCCAACAATTATGCTTTTTTTCTGTTGCATATAAAATATTGAATACGTTTCGAAATCTGCATTATATTTATAGAGACACATAAAAAAGTAATTAATTTTCTTTTTTTTTTCAATTACAAATTATATATAACAGACAAAACAATCTGAAAATCTGTTCATATTACCAGTGGAAGATAAATTTATCCTTGCCGATAAGGTCTTTGCAATCGGTATGGAAGATATTCTTTGAGTTCTTCATCTTCAATCAAAATAATGATGATGATAATGGAAAATGAGAAAACCAATAAATGATATCTAACGGAACAGAAGATTCTAGTTGACTTAATAAAGTAATAAGAGTCCAGTCGACCTTGTCCAGCATCAAGCAATCTTAGGATACTAGAACATGGTCATCCACAATCATAATAAAAAGATACGGAAGAAGATACAAACAAGAAATTCAAGGAAGGATGTAACAGCATTAACGATTATGCGGTTCGCTGCGCGTATAAATGCGGTTAATAGTTAAACCGTAAGATATTCCACATGTGACATTAAGATCTTGTATTGTGCTTACATATCAACTGTAATACTTTTTTTTCTTTTATAAAGACATTTGTATACTTTCTTGCACCTGATGCAAAAATATTGACATTCCCCGGCAGATGTTGAATTGTAATAAACTCTAACGTTCGTAGTTTTATTATTATTTTAGCTCAAAATTTTATGCTGTAGATTATTAAAACTTCAATTTATGGATTGTTTTGTAAATAAATTTTCCTTGCAATATTGTTGAATTGAATGGAAATCGATTTTAGTTTAATTTCATTTGATTGAGATAGCACAAAATAAGTCTTTCAGGTTGTATAGGCTCATAAATTTCCAATAGATAAAGGTATACAGGAACCAAATATTGAAATGCGAATTATTAAATTATCCTAAAGAGATGAAGATTCGAGATGGATATTCCGGGTCGTCGGCCGGCTTCGTGGAGCCTCGGATTCGTTCGGACTTCAGATCTTGGCTCCACTCTATGCTAAGTCAGTTGACGACGAACCTAGAACGCGTTGACTTCGGAGATTTCGCGGGTTATTTCATAATGTGACAGTTTGCTCAAATTCTTATCATCCTAGTTTCATTTTTTTTTATCCAGTTATCCTTATATTTAACTTTAATCTTTTTTCCCGTTCATACTGTCATAATAAAACAAACTCTTTATGTTAGATTAATCATATAGGAACAAAGTAATATTAATTGTTTCGTATAAATGACCGGAAAAAATGGAAAACTATTGATTAATCAATTTGACAGTATTTTATTGTTTATTTGTTTAGTATAACGATGTGATAGCTATCGAAATTGTATATACTTTGAAATATACGTAATTTTTTTCATTTTTTTTTTTTTCATTATATGAATTGAATAAAATGTCATGAGAACTCGTTGCGTGATACGAATTGTTTGACTGGATTCATAAAACGCAAATGTTCATTTTATCGCGACAGGACAAAACAAATATTTGAAATTGAGCAAAATCCTAACAGTATATATATGTATATAAAAGTGGCGATCGCACGTGCGCATAGAAATTAATTCATTGGAATTATTTTGAATGATTCGATATCGCAACAGTTAATCTATATTATTTGATGTTTGTTACATATTTACACTATATTTGACTCATTGTTAGTTCAATACAATTGTATTACTCACTAAATATTTTATAAAGTATTAATTCGATTAAAAAACTTTAAATGAATAATGAAATTTATTAAAAAACGGAGCTAAGTTGAAAAAGAGGTTTATTTGTTGATTTAATCTTTTTATGTTTTCGCGAATTCGTTACTCGGGCTTGCAGTAAAACCCGACATTAATTAATGTACATTGTGAGAAAGACTCAAGTCTTTATGCGAAGTAATAAAAAATCATAAACGGCGTCTCGTCTCTATACTTGAGTCTGACCAAGTATACAAACATCAACAAGACAGTGAGTCTGATCTACAAGTAAAGCTGTAGCTGTTCTAGCAGGACTTTTACTGTTATACGTCGCCACGATTGGTGTTCTCTATACCTCATTTTATCTTTCTCTTTTCTCTTTATTAATTTTTCATTCATTGAAAAAAGAAAAAAAACCAGCAGAATTTATAATTTATAATAAATAAGACATAAAAGAAAGGACATCTATCATAAATGAATAAAAAACAGTGACATTAATAATTGCGGTAGTTCTACTAGAAAATAACCAGCGAAAATGGTTAAAGTAGTAAATAATTAATCGTGCAGTTTAATAATTTTTCTCCGTTAATGTACTGATGCTGAAAACATGGCGTTGTGTCAACACGGCACAGTATCATCTTCATCATCAGAATTACGAGAATTTATTACTGAGGACGAAAGTGCTATTGGCGATAATATCAGTATATTTGAGCCTTTGAGCGATTCATGCGGCGAAAGCGACATGGAGGGTCTTGATTTCTCTCTATTTGAGCCTCAAGTTGAACCCAACTGTTGCCATCAAGATTCTCGCGTTTGTTCTGGCATGCTTGACCTCTTGATGCACTACTGTGGTAAGCAAATTCTTTACTGTACATATGAAAGATTCTCTTGTCATTTGCCTTTCTCCATTCGTGTTAATAAATTCGTTGAATATATTATTATTATCATCATTATTTTCATACTGTTAAATCAAGTTTAATTTGCAATAATATCTATAATATTCATTCTTGTAGCCTCGTTTTGCCCATCATTACCCACTTTCTGAGTGGCTTGTTTGGCGTGAGATCATGTCTATAATTCAAAGATCTCTATCTTTTACTATGTTTGGTGTTTTCAAGAACAATATAGTAAGTGGTTAAAAAAAATTTAATTACTTGAATCAGTTAGGTACTTTATTGATTTTATCTCTTGGTAAAATAAACAAAATTGCTTAAGTACATTGAACTAATTGACCGACTTTGTCAATCTAAAAATACCAATTATATTTCGCGGAACTATAAACAAATTATTTAATTGGTCTTACAATCGTCTATCAAGTCAGTTTCAATGAGGTCTGACAGGTTTTCGATTTATGTGCTTATTCCCATTTACTAATACGTATATCCGGCAAGATAATGCTAAAAACAGCTAACCTTAATAAAAAATCAATAATATTTAAATATGTATGATCTATTTTTGAAATTTTCTATTACTTATTGTAAGAATATTAATAAGAACATTTGATACAATATAATGAATTTTTTTAATAATTTAGGTAAATCAATGGTAATTAATAATTACCATCGATTTACCTAAATTAAAAAAATAATTACTAATTACTAAATTAATAAATAATTACTAATTATATTAAAAGTAAAGTTTTCATATTTTCTGCCATAAAAAAGCGAAAAATGAAGTTGTTGTAAATTTGTTCTACACTAATAAATAAATTAACTTGATTAAAAGAAAAAATCGTGAATCAAGAACATCATTTTAAAAAGTTGGATCATTTTGAATTAAGATAAAAAATTCTTGAATCAAGTGAAATTTATTTGAACCAAAAACGATTCTTTAATTCAATAACTCTTTTACTTGATTCATGATGGTCTTACTTTTCAAAATTATGTTTGTGATTCAATAATTTATCTCCAGAATCCGATTAATTTTTTTATAACTGTACTTTTCGTTGGACTAAAAATACAAATTGATTCAAATTACAAAAATTTTTATTTGAAAAAACTCTTAGAGATCGCGTCAAATAGGGTTTTTTCTTTGAAAGTATTATTTTCGATTATATTTTCGATGCACAGTATGAGAAAACATATCAATCTTAAAAAATTAATATATCTTCTAATTGTTGATAGAAATTCGAAATTTTTATTTTAAGAGTTTTCGAACTTTAAAGTGAAGCCTTAATTCTATATAATTACCTAATGGATAAAAAATAATGTACAATAAATGAAATTTAAGTAATACTCTCTCCTTTTTTTCATAAATCATTTTTTCTCGTGGTACTTACTATAAGAAATGAAAAAAAATATATTTCCGTGCATGCAATTCCGACTGTAATTTCAAAATTATTTGAGGGATAATAACTGTGGTGTATTATACTTGTAGATAAAAAGTATAAGAAAAATAAAAGTATTGAAGAGGTGTGGAAAAAGCTGTATACAACTCTACGCAGGGATTTAATTATTTGAAATGAAGGTAGTCTGACGATGTCGAGATTTGAAACCATTAGCATCCGGAAATTGTCGTCGAATTAGCTACATAGTTATAATACGAAGTTGGTTCACCTGGGCTTAATACTATATAGTTACGCATGCTCGAGTGGCCTCACGGGATCTTTCACCCTTTTCTCTTATACACTTTGCTTCATCTTCCATCTTCTCTGTATAATACTGTCTCGCGCGGATAGGATACCAAACTTTATCTGCTATTGACGTGCACAAGTGTATAAATTCGCAGTATGAAAAGTTATGCTTATAGGTATACCGTACTTGCTCATGACCGGTTTGCCATAAGCTAATCCCTTTCACGGCTGGTTTGCCACCGACGCGATTTCATAATTAATAGCAAATTGTATCACGATTGAGTATAATATCCAATAATCTTATTCACTCATCGACCTTTCACTACACTCGTTCACTGATTTGTTAACTATATATTTTATCATTATTTTATTTATCATTATCTGATTTTTTTTTATGTCTAATTCCGGCTATTATAAAATGTTCAATGCTTACAGAGCCAGAATGCTGTGTCAGCGAAACTGCAGGTGAAGCATGTTGGGAACCATGTTACTGTGTTCTATTGCAAGATGAGCAAACCCTCACAGCATATCGGAGTGAGGATATGGCGGTAAGTTGTTCAATTTTAATATAATAATTAACTGAAATTTTTCAATAAAGACAACGTCGGACTTTCGGTAGTTTACCCTAAATAATTAACTGAATAAAAATGATCTTTTGTTAGAATTATTTATGATGTCTGGACAGAATTAATCGATCAAACATCATTTAAAAATGATGTAATTATTGTTGGACGATGGTAGATTAATCACTTATACTTTTAATGTAGTGAATTCTTTTTAGAAAATTTTTTTTATTAATTGATACAATTTTTTCTACGGTTTGGAAACAGGAAGAGTAACGCAATTGTATAGGAAATCTAAGAACTATTGTATTAAATACGAGATTCTAATCACTTTGTTTCATGTAGAATTAGATATTTTGTAATTCATTAGATTTTTTTGTAACAAATAAAATATCCTTCAGGAAATTGTGATATAAATGAAAACATTATAAATCGTTTAATTTTTTTCTTCTGGAAATATTTTCAATTAATAAACACCCCAATAAGAACTTATTAGAAATTTGGTTTATTCATCTTCAATAGTAATGGGTTATACAATAATGCTTGAATTTATGTCAATACATTAACATCAATAATGATACGTATGTTTAATTTATATATTGGTTCGATAGCTTTTAATGACAATTGTTTGCACTTTATTTGATATCTATTCTAATTAATTGATATGGTTAAAATCAATAAACTTTCACATTGGAACAGCCAGAATGCAATAAAAGGGTCGAAAACGAAAAATTAAATTGTTGTATATAATTTTTTCCAATATTTGGAAGAATATCTAAACACTAGAATATTGTGACGTCACTGCTAAACAAATCGATTTTGTTTCCATGACTTTCTGTGTTCGAGAATCATAAATTATTCTGGTGCATTCATATCGCTGAAACACGTACTAAATTTTCAGCGAAATCAATTCAATCTATCATATCGAAAATCTTGATATTTTTCATTTTTTTTTTTTTAAGCCGTCTAACTGAGATTAAGATATAGATAAAATCAATATTTATTTTGACTGCCTTTGGCAGATTAATAAATGATTGATCTAATTTGAATTAAGCGTAGTAAAGCTTATATAAAAATTTTTAAAATTCATTCAACATACAAATATGTACTATTATTTATTATTATATTGGAATCAATCTCTTTTATCTAAAAACGTTTTATAATAAAAAAAAATTGTTGTATAAATCTTGTATGTAAAATCTTTCTTGTATTAAGCAAAAAAAAGCTGGAAAAATTGGCTTCGAAATAAAATTTTTATAATCTCTGTAAGTGATGCACATTTTGAAACTGTAAAATGATGTTAAAAACTGATAAAATCAGTACTTATATAGAATTATATTTATAAAAATATTACTTGAAACTATGTAACTTTTCCAGTTTTATGCTGGGAGCTCCTATTATTACTGAAGAAAGTATATAAATATACATCGCTCCTGACATATAATCAAAGAGATATAGGTTCGATCGAACAAATACTTTTAGCTAATATTTATTCTAGACTGACAAACAAACAGATTGTCTAAATTTTTCTAATAAATCAAGAATTTTATTTACATAAAATTTCTTAGTTTTTACGATTGTAAACTTTTTAAAAATAATTAAAGTTATAAGCAATAAAAAAAGCTTTCTTTTTTATTTAAAATATATAAATTGCATGTGTTTCGTTAGCTTCATTTAAATATTTTATTACTGAACTAATTAGATTTAATTTTGCTTGTAAATGCAGCTATTTGCCGGTACTGGGTGCATTTTCAGGGCTCAGGACAAGGTTTGTATATTCAACAGCCTACGGGTTCAATAGCATGATGTAGATGCATTTAAATTATTTATTATTACTGACTACTAACAATAAAAAAGAAATTAAAATGCAGTCAGTGCTCTTTCATAGATCAAAGAGCATGTTTGTGTTAGTACAAATATTGAAAGGTTTCAATGTGTAATTTAGTTTTCGTGTGGTAACATGTACACAGACTAAACTATTGAATGCACTCGTTAACCTGCCAATATAAATAAGAGAGGACACAACATCTGCCATTGGATAGTATTATATACGATCACGATCACTTTCATCAAACCCTTTTGAGCATGTAATTGATAGGCCTACTCAAATACGTTGATCTATGATATGTCATCCAATTTTATAGTATGCTTTAATTAATGACATCATCCTTATAAAGTTAGGTCAATTTCTGACACCGACTCGTGTGGTGACATGGTAACTGATATGCAGATGGTACGCGATTCAGACTTTCTCACAATTCATGCTAATGTCTTCCTCATTCATTCTTAAATAATATTTGTTAAATATACCTTCTAAATGATAATCATAAATTAATATTAATATTACCATATCAGTAATGTTTGAGTTTTATAATAGGTATATATATTAAATGCATGGTATAGAATCAATGCATATTGAATATTAATATCAATAAAGATAATGTCTAATAAATTTATGATGAATTATTCCAGATTGGCGATGCGATGTTTGTGGAATTACCGCGCGTACGTTTAGACGGTGGAGCCAGAGCATTTCGTCAATATTGGGGTTATGAATCGCGCCCATTAGCACCCCCGCCACCACTCATTGAAGAAGACGAAGGTGGCATTGAACCAGAAACTGTTAGTCTACGTGAAGCCAACACCGCGTCTCCTATAGGTAAATTGAATTATTTTATTTTTTATTAGGGATACTGATAACAATATCCAAAGACAAAAAAGAGAAATCATTTATGGATACATTTGAGTGAGATACTGCAGTAAATATATATGAGAATCAGTGAAAAAAAAAAATTTATTTTCTAATTAGTTTCATTGTCATATGGAATAATTTATTAATTTAAAAGAGTTTAATAAAAAGTGAATATGTTAAAATTTTTCTCTGACCTAATTAAATGATAATCTGGACCCTAAAGTCTTGAAATGAATCTTGTTTTCGATTGATCCCTTTAAGGTAGTACTCTTGGTCGTTGAATAAATGTTCAGAATTTAATAAAATTTGGTATAGTAGTAGATAATGATCTCATTAAATCTTGAAGAGCTACAAAGAACCATCAAAAAAAATATTGAACTTTAAAAATTTTTATGTTTAACATTAAGTCTTATGAGTAAATGATAGTTTTTATTTTATTGTACAAAACTTAACCTTCAGGTTTTAATAAAATCGAGACAATCAAGGAATATAACATATGATCTATTTTCTACAATTGAAAGTCCAGATTCGGAGGAAACGATAGTTGAAATTAGTGAAAAACTATCAAAAACAATCTCTGTCTCTCTTTTCTATCGCGACGTTGGATAAGTAAATTAACTACGTGAATTGAACAAAACTTTGTATTTGACATTTAACACTTGAAGTATCGACAGTACACCCTTAATTGTCATCAAGAGTATTTAAATTGATTATTTTGTTCGAGAGATGTACATACAATGTTGAAACAAATGGTTTTAGATGTAAGACTCTATCTTAACAAAACATTGATTTTCATACTAAAATCAGCTATAGGTATTTGACTATTTTTCGGTTTTATTTATCAAATAAATTAGTACTTGAAAATTATTAAAAAAATTGCATCTATAAGTAGTTCTTTACAATTTCGATTTATAAACTTTTTTTTTATTATTATTTGTTTGTAAAAGAATGATCAGATGTTGTCAGTTAATTTTAGTATTATCAATTTTTATGCTGTTTCAAAAAATTTATTTACTTTTTTTTTAATTTCTTACGTGATAATAAAAATAATAATTAATTCGATTTATATAGATGATTTATAAGAGATCCCAAACGACATACATTTTTTTTTTGTTAATGTTTTGCTGAATTTAAGTTGACGATTATTGATTTTTGATTTTTTGTTGAGTAAAATCTACCAAAAAGTCAACATTATTTTTTGTGATGTTTAGGATGTAGTAATGTAAAAAATTTACTTAAAAATTACTCGTACTCGTCAACTCGTACTTACAATAAACATTGTAATACAGAAAAAAGTAATAAAATGCCTAACAACAATAAACAAAAAAACATTTTTTTTGCATTAATTTTTAAAACTAAAAAATTAAAACAAAGAACTTTGAATTGAAATTAATTAAATTATATATTCATGAATTGGCATTGCTTATCAATACAATCTCTTTTATAAATTTAACATCAGCAGGTCAAGTAGGAATAGTATTTCTACGTTTCTTACCATATGCCAGTAAGGGTTCTAAAAAAAGTTTGCATCCGATTGAAGTCTAAAAATCTTCCAAATATTTTAGGTCATTCGGTCTTTAAAAAACAGCTTTAGTTTTTACCACTTTAAATTTTATTGCAATTTTCCTCTAACTGAGAATAATAATTGAACTGCAGGTTGTGACATTGCGTTATTAATTTCTACATTACCATCAATGTCTGTCCTTATCTACAAAACCCACATAAAAATTATCTGTTAGCTAGCGACACCACGAATAAATTCAAACAAGTAAAATTAGTTGAGTGTTTAAATAACAATATTTAAACACTGAGGATAGAAATTTTATCAATGATACACTGAATAGCCTTGAATTATGTTTTAAATTTCCAAAACCGCAACATGCGTCAATATTTAAACGACAAACTTTAAATGATTAACATATTTTTATATTATGTTACATTTATCTCTGATTGTATTATATTATATTACTCCGATTTATCTGATTAGTTCGAACTGTTTAAAGAGACGCTCCCATACCTCGTTACAGTGTCCATCAACATACATATAGTCGTTATTTATCAAATTATATGAGGTAGAACGCTTTTATCCGTCATTGCAGACAGTGTCATTGCATCGTCATCCGTTCCTTTGCGGATACGATAAAACAAAATAAAATAAAACTTACAACCGCTTCTCATCCAGTCTGTTAGTAATGTTTCGAATGCTTATACGTATTTTATATTCTGTAAAGTACAAGTGGCAATAGCTTTTTATTTACCATTAAATTCCAGCTATTTTAATTGATTAAAGTACAGTGTAATATAATCAACAAGTGAATAAGTGAATAATCAGTGATTCAATGCCGTTCAATCATTAAAGATATATACATGTGGTTTTTGTTCAAATATTTTTATGTACTTGATACAAAAAAGTGTTTTTTTTTCTTTCTTCAAATTGTGTTTAGTTTAATTTTATTAAAAAATGGGTCATCGAAGACTGTGGAATTCATTTGTGAGGTGGACAAGAAAAGACAGTTTTGATTATCAAGAGGAAGAAGATGATTCGTCATGTTCTGAAAGTGATCGTGAGTAATATAATGAAAAACTAATGATACTAAAATCAGTAAATATTTAAAAATTTTTAGGATTTTTTATCAAAAAAATTACTGTAAAAAAATATTCTTTACAGTTCACAATTATAATTTATTCATTTTTTTTTTCGCATCAAAAAAACTGGTATTTTATTTAGTAGATATTTTTTAATTTTTTTTAAACAAATAAGAAAAAACATTTATAAAAATTTTGACTCACAATTTTTTCAAATTTCTTCACGGGCAATTTTTTAAAATATTTTTTTCTACAGTAAATTATTAGTTTTAAAAAATCCAAAAAATTATCAATTGTCAGCTTATTTAAGTATCATAAAAAATAAAAACGAAACAAAGATAAAACAGGAATTAATTGATATGTTTTGACTAATTATTGAGCTCTTATTTATTTCATCTGAAATAAACATATAATCTTCAGAACCTCGACGCCAACAGAAAAAAAGAAACAATAGAAAAAGGTTAAAGAGCATAGTTGGTTGATGAGTTTACACTCTAAGGTGAAATGAGAGTTTCTCTGTAATAAATTGCAAACAATGGTCTTCTCCATAGAACGCGAACACGATATGCAAGTAGTGTACTCTTATTACTCTAAGTAGGTTATAATTTGACTCTAGTCACACTCAATAATGATTACGAAATTTCTTAGATGTTATTAGTAACACTTATTATATGGTGACGTAATTGAACATCAAGATACAAGCGTGCGGCATAAGATCATTTATTGTTAAAAGTCTTGAAGGCTTCTTTTTATAATAGATAAATATTACATATAGTCTTTATTTTGTTCTAAAACTAAATAAAATGAAAGTTGATGTGGTAACCCCTGAAAAATTGGTAGTATTATTTTTTTGTGCTAACAATGAGTCACAGTAGAGAATAATGGGTCTATTGATAGTGAAAATATAATTCAAGTATTTGAATATTTATTTATAAAAATTGTTTAAAAACACCATTTGATTGCTGAAGATTAGCAATATATTTTTACTAGGAACTAAATGAATAATAAAACACAAGGAAGTGTTACCTGAATGTTTTTCAACTAGTGTCTTGTTCATCCTACGTAAACCTTTAAAGAGTGACTCACTCATGGCTTGCATTTATTGAGAAATGAAACAAAACCATCAAATTTTATTTTTGTTAAACAACTTTTGTTTAGATTTAGCAATTTATATTGAGAAAAATATATTTTTACAGTTGGTAAAAATTAAATATTTTTAGCGACACCATTGAAATCATTTTGGAGTGAATGATCATGATGACCATTTAAAACGGATGGTGATTAAAAGTTGAATTTCCGTATTTCCTTACTGATAATAAATTCGAGATAAGCAACAGTGTTTCTCAACTGCTATGCTCAGAATTGTTTATATTTACTTAAAATTAAATTAACAATTTATTTTTGTTTTATCTCGTTACACGTTTTTATTTTTTATTTTTAATAATGTGCATAAATATTACACTTAAGTAATGTAATATAAAATACAAATAAAAATAAATAAAGTGAATTAACCCGAAATCTTATCAACAGCGTCTTTTGTGAGAAAAGCCAGAACTCTACCCGCAAAAGGTTATCGTCAACAACGACACACAATGCAACCTGATTTATCACGTCTGTCGAATAGTAAAGGTGATACAAATTTACCTATACCACCTTGTAAGTTATGCATTACTATAATTTAAATAATTTTTTTACCTTTGACATTTTTTTATTGATTAAATTCTTTTATGTATCTATTAGAGCGGAAGTTATAGCTTCTTTTTATAGATTAATGTATTAAAAATGATAAAGAAATAAATGAAAATAATAATGAAAGAATTCTAGAATGATTAATTTTATAGAAAGTGAATCTAAGAATTGAATTATTGTGAAGTTGATGGAGACGGAAAGAATAATAAAAGTTTATATAATAAAATAATATTATCTTTTGTTGAAGTAAAGGCAAAGTGAGTATTTTATACTCTGTAGAGTATTGCAATGATACAGGAAGTAAAATAATGAAAAATAGACGAAAAGCTTTGGAGAAAATTGATATTCTCTTTCACCTCGTCCCACTTAACCCGCCCCCTCCTTCCGTTTAGCGTTCTTCTGTCTTTCGTATCTTAATCTATATCTTTCTCTTTCTGTTTGGCTTTTGGCTCACAGTTATTGTGCCGCACACAAATTTACGATTTTCCCATGTTTATGTATCCACAATCGACTCTTGGAAATGAGCCAGTGATATTTTTATGTATGCCGCAACGCAGCTGAGTTTTTGTCAGTTGTATTAAACTTTTTAAATTTTAACGATCGAAGTTAAACGAAAAAAGGATTCAATCTTATGTAAATATCTACTATAAAGGGTAATTTGAATCCGGACAATCTGGCGACTTAATACATCCGGTACTCCGGAAGTGGAGCGGCTGTACACAGGAAAAAGTCCCGTTTTTAACGTCAGATAAAGCGGACTTTCACCTGATTTGTTATTATATCATTGTGAGAATATTTAAAAAATAAGAATTTTTCAATTCAATACTTTTAAGGGCTACAATCGATTTTATTTGCAATAAATTTATAATAGCGTTTACTTTAAGTATGTCAATAATCATAAAAACTAGTACTGTACAAAAAATTTCATCATTTGCTAATTTTTGAAGACGTACTAAAATTTTAATTTATTGTTGTTAAATAGTACAATAGGTACAATTTGCAATAAATTTTAACTTATAATTTTCGTGTAAAATCAAAATGGCTTATATATAAAAAATAATTAATTATAAAAATTCCCAGTATACATTATATACCTTCATCAGTTAATTTAATGCTTGTCATTGATTTTTTCATGTTGTTGCTTGTAGCAGAGATAAAAATAATTTTACATTTTATAATATATAACTGAGTAGTCTTTCATAGTATATAATTAAGTAAATATCGTTGTGTGTTTTATTATCAAAAAGTTTACGTTGAAACAAATTATTCATTTGATACCTCTGTTTATTTAAAAAAATATATTCGTTTATAGCTAATGTAAAAATAATACCAGTGTTTATTTTTAGAGAAGAAATGCAATATGTTAAATTTTTGTGATGTGAATTCTTTCGTACGATTTATTTATATCAATTTAATATATAGTTGTTACTTTGATCCAATTATTTTATGTTATTTTTAGACATGTTTGTAACTTCCCACTTAAAGATTGAAAATGTTCTATAACTTAAAGACTATTTGTTTTCAATCTGGCTTCCGATAATCGAGCTTGTACTATATTATTTGACGTTTTGCAATTCCATGGAGCTATTTAAAATATTTTCTAGATAATCTACAAGTGGATGTATAAATTTTAAATTAATTTTTGAATGAATTAAACGAGATAAAAATTTAATTTGACGGTCAACTCTTTATGAATACGTTTTGATATAATACTGACATACTTTAATGTCCACTCAAAAATAACCAGTAATGATTTTTTCAAATAAGTTGAATTAAAATTTTGAGTTATACAGTTATTACTAGTTATGTGTGTGTTTGCATTCAGAGTTTTTAAAAAATTTTGACTTAATGGTCGTGTAACTTCAGATTCTGGAACTACAGTTTCTGTGCAATAATATCCTATTGGAAATATTTTTAAACAAAAAAATTTATTGCACGGAAAAAAGAAAACTCAAAAAATTACATTATAAATAGTAATAAGTGTCCCGTCGTATTAAAAACTAGAAAAATTACAGTTCGAAATAACATTTTTCTAAATTCAAACTTTGAATGTTAATTTTCAAAGCTTCCAGTGTAAATATTACATTCTACAATGTAATTCTTATAAAATCTGTAATAATTACAATCTGAAACTGTGATTTTTCCAGTTTTCATCACGGAGCGCCAGGTTACATTATACATTGTAATTATTCGAGTTTTCTTTTTTCCGTGTGTACTTTTGGTCACGAAATTGCTTACATATTTAAAAAAAAAAGATGTTTTTCACTAGATATTCTTGCAACAATACTTTTAGAAAACTGTTTATTACGAAAAATACTTTCTTACTACCAACCTGGTAAATTTCAAAATCTAAACGACTGAAATCCCTATTCAAAACCGTCGTTTGTGCACATACCCAATCAAAATTACTAATTGTATTATTTTCCAGAAAATCAAATTGGATAGTAAAATATATAAATGTTATTTATTTATTGAAAATTAAACGCCCATCGGCTATATACAACTAGAATACAAGTTTGGATTTGAATGTAGAAAAAAAACAAATATGTTATATTTCAGTTATTCCATTAATCACTAACTAGTAATTATAATAAATTAAAAAAATTACTGCATCTTTTAATAACGTTTGCATGAATAACTTAAATGAGCAAAGGGGAACAAAACGACAACGTGGACAAAAATAATGAAGTTTCATGAACCTATTGAATGAATCATCTTTTTCTCATTTTTATCTTATTACGGTAGTTGTCGCCATAGTATATTATGTAGATGTAATGACGTTACTTAGATTTACATACGTATTCATACGAATGCTATTCATTTTAAAGAGTGTGGCAACTCGACAAAATTCTCTATTAGTGAATATTATTGAGTATTTACTTCTATCTCTTTCACTTTCAATTTGCTATTTGAAAATAATACTACTTACGTACAGCTCACAATAAACTGACATATATTATAAATGTTTATAAAATTTCCAAGTTTGCAGTCTATTAAGATTATATATAGTACATATTTTCAACAAAATCTCGTACGTAATATCTTCGCTTAAAATAGTTATTGTGCCGTGAGTCCAGTTTCTGAAAATTCTAAATTTTTGTATACTCATTGAGGATATTATAATACTCTTGTTCTTAAAATTTGAAATCACTAAGCGCGAGATAATTTCAATTAAAAATTACATTTTTGTACAAACAGTACAAACAGAAGAGTGAAAAAATCGCACATTTTTACGCTGTTGCATTCAATGTACTGCTAGATTTTTGTGAAAAATTGATATTTCATAGAATACTATACTTATAATTACTTTCAAAAATTTGGAAATTCTTAGACTCATAGTTTTTAGAAATTATTAATATAAACTAGTAAAGTAAACAAAAATGATAATGAGAAAAAGCAAGTAAGGAATAATTTGTGAGGAAGGCAACATTATTGAGTAAGAAAAAAAGCAAAAGCACAGACTATATGTAGTGTGAAAACTACCTTAGTATATTTTTTTTAATTGTCATGAAAATAGAATTTGCTGAAATTTGGATAATCATTAGTGTCACACTAATCTTTAAGCCATGTTTTCATCGAATTTCTACATTTTGAGGTTCTAGCAAGCAATTTTGCATATTTAAGTCTACGAATGTCTAGCCTTATATTTGTGTGTTTTGTCGTGCGTACAATATCTCGAGAACAAATTAATTGATAATTCAATCACAAAAAAAAGATAGTTGTTTTTTTTTTTTTTAATTCATCGGTTCAGTTGTGTTCTTTTAATCATACACGTTTTGTAAGTATGCAAAAAACGTTATGCATATTTAACACAGTAATCTAAAAAATTATTTCCAGAATTGAAAAGTACCGTAAAAATAATTTTTTTGTCTTGGTTATTTTAATACTTTTTTGTCACTGATTCTCGTTACAGGACAAACAATAGCTTATAAAGATACGGTCTGTATACGTTTACTGCGTGTTTTTGCTCTTCAACTTAGTGTAACAAGCATTACTAACCTAACGTTGATTTGTTAAATAGACGCGTGTACAGTTGCATAACTATTCTATATACAACAGAACTTGTTGCATCAAATTCATAATGTTGATTACTCAAATTAATTTTTTAATATTCAGTTGCCATTATCTAATACATTAATTTACATTATTAATTGTAACATTATTTTGTTTCAGGTGAGTTAAAGTCTTTATCCTTACCTCGAGGGTTTCCTCCACCTGTAAATGAGGACAGTAGTAAAGGTAAGCATTTACTCTGTTTTTCTACACTAATTTTTTTTAAATAGCCTTAATTATACAATAGTCGTTATCAAGTAAGTTCTAAAACTTACCTTGTCCTCTTAAAACGCGTTACGTATTTTTTTTCATTTTCGTATTAATTTTTTATCTTTTTAATTATTTACGTGTTACCTAATAATAGAATACAAAGTCACAGCTCTAAGAAATCATTCTGGATAGTTTATATTTCCGTTTTTTTGTTCTACGGAATTATTTAAACATTAAAATACAGAAAACGTTTCTCTCACAATTATACACAGAAGAAAAAAATTGTTTTCTTTTCACATTTAGAATAATTGTCAACAAGTTTTTTGAATCTCTCTATTTCCATCCAAACTATATACAAACATGAACTATTTTATTATTTAAAAAATGATAAAAAATTTTCCGTCATTGAGTTGAAAAAAGTTTTTGTAAGAAATTTTTATCTTAAATATTTTACATTTAATTTTTGTGTGTTAATTTAATACAATTGCATCGAATTAACGTACAAAGGTGTTAAATATTTTGCATAAAAATTTTGTAAGAAATGTTTTTTGATGTAATGGTAAAAGAATTTTTACTCTGATCATATTAGGTTGTATAAAAAATCAAATATTGGTTTTTCTTAAAATAATATTGTTTAAGCTAAAGGTAAACTTACCAGAAATTTTGAGTTTTTTTATTTTTGGTGAATCAATCATACTTTTTACTAAACTTACTCTAGATTTTCTTTTTTTAACTCTTTTTGAGATTCTGAATTTCGATTGCACTATAACGATACACTGAAAAAAAATTATTCTTGACTGGAGGGTAAATTTTCTTGGCTCAAGAAAATATTAAGAAAGATTGAAAATTTCTTTAATGAAGTCAAAGTTTCTTGAGCCAAGAAAATTTCTTTTCGCTCCAACATAACTTTTATCTTCCTTAAAATTTTTTTGGTGCAAGAAGTTTTTTTTCCTGTGTAGTTTTGTTAAAAAAAACTACTGTTTTAAACAATTGTTACTAATTGACAAATTTTATTGAGCTCGACAAAATGATATGTAATGTTTGAACTTTTTCGATGCCTCCGAGGTCAGAGATATAAATTTGATACATTTTTGATGATTAATAATAATCAACGTTTTTAAAACCCAAACATTGTAATTAAATCATAAATATCGTTTTAAAATATACGAAACATATTTTTATAAGAATAGAATAGAGAAAATGTTATAGCTATAATAAATGTGAGACAAATAAATAAAATAAAAATTAATATTTATTTTTCATATCAATCAAAAGTTTTTAAATCATAGTTTTTTAACAGAACTACTATCACAATGCAATCGACATATTTTTAGAATCTTAAAAATACTTCAGTAAAAATAATTTAGAACGGAATTTCCGAAAGAGTCTGATTATTTTGCCAAGAAATTGAAAAAAAAAAAAAAACTCACAATTTCTATTAAATTTAAATTTAATCTCGAACAACTTTTAAATAAGTAAATTTAAAAAAATTGATAAGGACCTCTTTGTAGAGCATTTAATTCTTTACAAAAATTTTTGTTGGTCTCATTAGTCTCAAAAGCGGTTAACAAGTTACAAAATTTCAAAGGTTAAAAATTTCTCCATGTTAATTAAATAGGAAATGAGGAATCTCTTAATATTAAAAGTAAGAGCTGTCTTTTTGACGGGGTCATTTTTTAAATTTCCTGAACAATATTTTCAGAATATTTTTTGGGGTAAAAAAAATTACTCCGTTTTTTTTTCATACAGCCTATTGTGTACAATATTTCCCCTAATACTAATAACTTTTATCTATAAAATATGAATAATAATTTCCATATTTGAACAATAATATTAGTAAACAATCTGATAAGATCGTATCACACAATTGATGTACATAAAAGTACTAAAATAATTCAATGTCAAGCTCCGTGAATCGAAAAAAATAATTATTGAATATTGTTTTTTCGATAATTCGAGCGTAAAAAAATGGTATTAAACGATGGCACACAGAGTAGTGGACCGTCATGATGCACACGATGCTCTAAAAATAGTGCTCGCCATAACCGTACATTTTATAGTATTATATATGCAATGTAGACTCACAACTAGGGCGTCTGTCTAATACTTTTTATATAGATGTAGGTACACCTATACATATGGATATGTGTCAATAACACAAACGCGGTAAACCATCAAAAAGATAGGTCAGATAATTAGAACAAAACTAAATTATTCCTGTTGATAAAAAAAAAGAAAAAGAATAAAAAAAAAAAAGATCGAAACGGTATACTAGTGGTAACACGACTATGTTATTATCACCACTACTATACACATGAATAATTACATAGTAGACTGTAGACAATAATCAGAGTAACAATTACAATTATATTCACATGTAGTGTCTACTATTGTTCATGGAAGTTGATTCTCAAATGAAATATGTCAGGGATGGTAATTTGTGAAAGCTTTTATTTACAATCGTGCAATAAACCATCATATCAGAGGACGCTTCAAGTGCTGGTATTGTATTTTCAACGAATGTAACAAATACATTTAATGTAACATTGTATACAAATACACATGTATACATACGTACACATGTGTAAAAGTAATAATGCTGTAGGTTTGTATGTTAGTACAGGCGCATAAACGATACGATGCGTCGGCTCAGTCGGTTCAGTTCGGCAACATACGTCTCCCACTTTTGTTGTACACCAACCACAAGTCTCAACAGTCTAGTTTCAACTTTGCTTGGATACGAGTGGACTAACGTGCGCTGATACAATTAATAAATTCATTTAACTTTGTTTTTAATTTACAATTATTATTTTCAATTAATTTTTTATTTAATAAAAAATATCTGTGATAAATTAAAAGTGAGTGATATAATCATCAATTATTTCGTGATATTTATAATATTGATTGTTTTTATTGATCATCAAAGATAAAGTCTTTTAAGTATTGTAATTGTATTCCCGATAATCCAGATAACACTTATTGGTAATTTATTTAAAAAAAATTCAATTATGAAGATGAACAGAAGAAAATTTTTAAAATCGTGACATTCTCATACCTTATTTATTATATATATATATATATATATATATATATATATATATATATATATA